ACACACACACACGTCTTAGAACATGCCTGCAGGGGTAATTGCATTATTTCTTATCTGTCCAAGATGTTGACTGGTAGATCAAACATTCCCAGACCTCAACACAAAACAAAGACATCTTCTGGGATATCCTATGATATCTATTGGAAAACCAGAAGGTATCACATTCCTAGAATTCTGAGGCCTTTGGTCCCTCCTTATTAATTAGCATACTGCTTCCTGGAGTTGTTTACTGCAGAATGGATGGTCAAGCCAAGATGAGTGGTCCTGCTGTTTTTACAATGCATTGCTGATCCTGCTTTGCAGGTTAGCCAGCTCCTGACACAATGTCATTGTGTATCTGACCGGAGAGGGCAGGAAATCAATTACCAACTTACCTTAAAGATGATAAATAAGGCAAAGAACACAAGAACAATGAACAGGAGGCAGCTGGAGTCTAATGCAAGGAGGTCATCTTTGTAGGGAAAATCAGGCTATAAAATAACACACACGCATATTTACAATTCAATGACAGCATTTCTACGCTGTGATAACTAGATAGCATATTAAGAATACAAAGATGAACATTAGAATTTATAATCTAATAAAAACTGTAGTGCTTTTGCATCTAATCACTATTAGTATATGCTATTAGTCAAAACATACGTGAACCCCAGATTATGCTTCAGCTTCTACATTGACCTTATTCTCTACGATTCCGCCCCGCCCACCCCCATTCTCTACTTTCCATCTTTCTGGCCTAGGGAAAACCCAAGTCCTGAGTGAACCTCAGATTTGCCTCATGATCACAGAGTCACTAATGTGTCCTAAAATATAGGTACAACTCAATTAGTCAATTAATCTTACATGAGCAAAAATAACTTTTAAAATGTCAGTCCAACTTTGGCAGAGAGATGCAAAAAGAAGGTACGCCAATGGTTCTAAACTAAGATCTACTGCTGATAAAAAATGTTCTATTAAGAAGGATCGATTACATCCATTCAAATATATATTTTATTTCAAAAATTAACATTTACTACAAGCAAGTCAGGGAGCTCTGATGGCTGAAGGGAGCTCTGAAAGGTCTGGAGTTATGCTGTCAATCTAAAAAAAACCACAAGGTCCAAATCCACCAGCTGCTCCTTGAATGGGCAATCTCTTCCCATGCCATGTACAGCCTCTGAAAACCAGCTGCTGAAAAGTGAGCTACCAGACAGTTCTAACTTGACAGTACATAAAACAACATAAGCAAGTCAACAACTCAGGCCCAGGAAAATGGGCACTACAAAGGAAGTTCAGATTTACAACTGAGAAAGTATTTTTCAGTTGAGGGATGAATCGACTAAACCAGATGGGACAAAATACTGGGGCCTGAAAAAAAGGATACATAAAAATTTCATTTTGGTGTTATATTCTATAAAGCTCATTTAATTTGGTGTATATTTTTTAGCGTCTCTTTTTAACAGAAATACGAAGTAACCTGAAAGGTCCAAATAATTTTTACTTTCATAAAAAAAAAAGGCAGTTCACAGAAAGCTCAAGTGATTTTTTTAAAAAATAGCTTGCCTACAGTGTAAAAGTGTCCTTTTTAAGGAGTTCTGGTGGCCTAGTGGTAAGTAAGAAATTGCACTGCCAACCCAAAGGCATGCAGTTGTTCGGCCACGCCACAGGATAAAGTGGGCTATCTTCTTCCCATGGGATAAGCAGCCTCTGAAAACCAGCTGGATGGCACATTACAACAAGTATCTCCTTTAGACAAAGGTTCTATAATTACAAGGAAAAAAGAATGGGGCCAGCTTATAGAGAAATGATTCTACAGGTCACCCTGAAGGTGAGGTGGTATCGTTGCCATTTTCAAATAGAGGTGACATGGCTGGAGAACAGTGCTGACCATGACCAAGTGTCTGACCATCGCTGGTGAGGAAGCAGCCTTATTGTGTGTTATTTACCCACAGCATGCCAGCCACCATGGCCAGGATTTACTGCCCTTGCTATACTGTACTCCTTCCTGTTTCAAGGAAGTATTTCCTTCTGTACTTTCCTTAACTCCTATTCATTTTTCTGAATACAATTAAAATCTCACATGCCAGTGTAAATTGAGTCTGACTCTTTCTTCCCAGTGTTTACCACAAAAGTAATTCAGTAAGTGTCTGACTCCGTCACTGAAAACAAGCTCCACTGATGTATCCTTCAGAAGCTAGCAGTGTCCTGCACACAGAAACAACAACAAATGTTTTCTGAATGACTGTAAGATAAATTTGGTTGTATGTCAAATGAATGAGGTAGGAAATAAGGAGAGAAACAATCTGAAAGATAACATCTGAAAACGTACTGGCCCCTCCTACACATCTGTCTGGACCCCACATGTCTTTCCAGATCTCCCCAGGGAATCTCCTTGGCCACTGCAGTCCAATGTTCCCTGCTCCCTCCATTATGAAAGATAAGTTCATGAATTTGCGTGTCATCCTTGCGCAGGGGCCATGCTAATCTTCTGTATCGTAACAGCCCTGGTTGATTACCACAATTGACTTCATATAGCATCTGGACTCTAGAACAGTTTTAACTATAAAATAATAAAATGAAAAAATTATTTTAATAATACCATCTAAGTTAGACTCACAAAGTCACTATGGGGTGGATATGACTCAATAGCAGGTTTGGTCTGAAGCTAGAGCCAGAAGTGCAATTTACATATTTTACTTCAAGCTTTATCAGCAGATACACTTACTAACTGATCCAGATATTCTTTGATCCTTGGCAGGTAAGTGAGAGAACTAATGGCAACCAGACAACTGAGAACAAAGTCAAAAAGGCGGTAACAGAAGAACGGAATCAGCCATCCCACTTGGTACTGCAGAGAAAAAGAATCACCACAACATCGTTATCTCAGACAGAAAATATGGAAGCACCACTAGTAAAACAAAACTATCAAAAGTTGAAATTAAAAGATACTTACAGAAATTGCTCCATACACCAGCATTGAACTGATTATAAACATAAGGACAGAGACGGCAAAAAGAACACAGGCATTATCTAAGAAAACAAAAGCAGAATCTCATTATGCTACCAACAAAACGTATTTTCAAGCTATCTTAAAATTGTCTAAATATCCTTTATTTATGAAAAGATCCAAAGTCAAGAGAGTTTAAAAAAACATGTCAAAAGCACAAAGAAAGCTCTTATTAGTGAAATTGTTAAAACAATCATGGACATTAATGAAGAAGGCTCAAGAGCTCAAGTTCTCTGCTGGGAAGACAGGGCCTCCCTGTCATAAACTGTCTGAAGTTGTGCAATGACGACAATCCAATGGGGGAAATGCTTCATCAGACAGTGTTACAACAGTGTTAAAAACAATTAACACTGCCTGAGAAAATACAAATGGATTAACCCTTAGTTGTTTTTTTTTTGAAGATGAACAGAATTCAACTGGAAGAAAAGTTGATTATCTGTGTAAATGTCATTAAGTCCTGGTGATTATGTTTCATAGTGATTCTATGAACAAAAGATCTGAACACTGTCCTATCCTCCTCATCATTTTTTTTAAAAATTATTATACTAGTTTATTTACAAAATTTGAATACACTGTTTTTCAGACCAGATTTTTCTAATTTCCCTCACCCTCACAAATCAAATTGTACAACCTCATGTTAACCTCCTACCCTGCACAACCTCATCCCTCTGCTTCCACCCTCCCTTAAATATTCATGTTTGTTCTACAAAAAAATACGGAATGCTTCACAAATTTGCATGTCATCCTTGTGCAGGGGCCGTCTTTGACATACTTGAGCCCACTACTGCAATCACTCTGTCAGTCCATCTTGTTGAAGGTTTTCCTCTCTTTTGCTGACTCTATACCTTTACAAGCACAGAGTCCCTTACCAAGGAATAGCCTTTCCTAACAATATTCCCAAAGTATGTGAAATGAAGCTTTGTCATCCTTGCCTCTAAGGAGCATTCCAGTTGAATTTTCTCCAAAACATTTTTTTGTTGTTGTTTTGTTTTGACAATCAATGGGATTCTTCATTCCTTAGCTTTTTGGTTGTGGTGCTGTTGTTAGATGCCATCAAGTTGACTATGTCTAATAGTGACCCTATGAACAAAAGATCTGAACCTGGCACTATACTGTGCTACCCTAACTATCTCTGATATACCTGAACCCCTGGTTGTAATCACTGGGTCAGTCCTTCTCCTTCAACAACCCTCAGCCTTTCCAAACATGATGTCCCTCTCCAAAGCACACCCTTTTCTAACAACATGCCCTAAGTATGTGAGGCAAAGTTTTGCCATCTTTGCCTCCAAGGAACATTCTGGCTGCACTTTCTCCAAGACATGTTTGTTCTTTTGGAAGTCCATGGAAGAGTCAATATTCTTCTTCAACACCACAGGCTCAATTTTATCAAATCTCCTGATGTCATCTTTATTCACCGTCTATTCTTCATATGCACAGCAAATAATTAAAAGACTATGGCCTGAATCAGGTGTACCTTAGTCTTCAAATTGACATCATTGCTCCCCAGTAATTTGGAGAGGTCCCTGACTATAGACTTTTTCAGAGCAATATCTCGTGATTGCTGGTACCAAGGGTATTTGATTGTGGATCCAAGTAAGATGAAACTGTTGACAATTTCAATTTTTTTCTCCATCTATCATGATGTTGCCTACTGGTCCAACAGTAAGAATTTTTGTTTTCTTAATATTGAGATGTAATTCATATTGAAGACTTTAAGTCCTCCACACTTTCAGCAAGTCAAGTTGTATCACCTGCATAATGCAGGTTATTGATGAGTCTTCCTCCAATCCTGGTACCACATTCTTCCTCACAGAGAAAAACATCTCAAATGATCTGTTCAGCATACAAACTGAATAGGTATGAAAAAACCCTGCTGCACACTTTTCTTAACTTTAAACCATGCAGTGTTCCCTTATTGTGTTCACACAACAGCTTCTTGGTCTAGGTACAGGTTTGTTGGGTTTTTTATATTTGTTTTTTTCTGGTTGTTTACTATCAACTCAGATCCAACTGGCACAGGAGGAGATTGCCCCTCCTTCTCCAGCAGTGCACCTGGTGGATTCATATGCCTTTGGGCTTGCAGCACAGCTTTTTGCCACTAGGCCACCAGAGCTCCTTTAAGTGTAGGTTTTGAATGAGCAATTTAGTGTTCTGGGATTTTCATTCCTCTCAACGTTAGCCATAATTTGTTATAATCCTCACAGTTAAATGCCTTTGCAATTGTTCCATTTCTCCTCATGACTCTATGTTCACATTACTTTTTTCACAAAACATCCTAGTGACCTCAAACAATGTTAAACCACACTTGAGTTTCTCTATACAAATTCAAAATTGATTTTGTGATACTATTTAGATACTAAGAACCTGAAGGGCAATAATAATGACAAATATTTAGAATAATCAGAGTAGTAACCTGATTTAAATTTCACTTAGGCATAAGAATTCAGATATAAATAAAATATGAAACAAATAGGTACTGTCATACTTGAACGCAAATGGAATAATTCAAATAATCAGCTTATAAGAACCTGTTTTGAAAGATTTCATGCTTATTTTGGTTTCTTAAAGTATTAAAATGAAGTTCTCCCATTGGAGCAACACATAAACTGGGGGAAGGGCAGTTTTGCAGCAAATGGGAGACACATAAAATGCTTAGAACAGGCACTATATCTGTGGTAATAACCCCTAAGGGCCAAAACATGAGGAGCTACAGGAGTGGGTAAGAGCTTTCGGCTTCTACCCACAACATCCAGTAACCTCCTTCTAGGGCCCCCTACTCCCGACTCCCTGTGTATGCATAAAGCCCGTTTGGACTCCCTAGGTGAATGAAGGAAGTAAGGTGAAATTCCTGCTTGAAAAAGAGAGTGCAAATGCTACAGAGGTATTGTATGTTATCCTTTGCTGTATCTTGTGTAGCTAATTGAAAAATAACTCTTCACAAGCCTATTATGTAAAATTGGCTGTCAAGATAATGATAAAAAAGAAATTTTCCATTATAATACCAAATCTATGGGAAAAAACCAAACTTATAACTCACCAAAAAAACTCCATTAAATACAATATGACTAAGAACTATGTATTTTTAATTCTCTTTAAACTATTGTTGTTGTTGTTAAGTGTTGTTACGTGACCCTATGAACTAAAGACCTAAACACTTCTATAATTTCATCCTTTCTCCAGGTCCATAGGGTTTCCGGAGGCAAGCTATTTTGGAAGTGGATGCCACTCCTGTTTCCAAGCTTTTTTTAAATGGGGACCGCCACCAAACATTATCCACCATGGGTAAACCATTATCACATCTGACACATCAGTGTCACAGTGTTTCGCTTCACAGCATCCACAAGTTACCTTTGTACCGCAATTGGACAGACCAGGGCTATATAACCTTGAAGAATGTTACTTGGCAAAAAAAACCAAACCCAAAAAAACAAAAAAAAAACCCACCTACAATGAATGCAATTATTTCTCACTACAGTAATTACAATACTTATTATATAGTATGTAATAAATTCACGAGTTCATCTTTTTATTTAGCTCTAGCTAAATAGGCAGTAAGAATCTTATTAACCAGAAATCCTTTTTCTACAACTCAATTTTAGAAGAAATATGGCAAGGGAAAAAAATGTTGACCCTCGCAGGTTAATTAAAATTCTGAAAATATCAGAAGATGACCAACAGCTGGTAAAAATGCAATTAACATTATTTATTGCCTTCTTTGCTTTTAAAATAAAAGTAAATGAGCTCAGTAAAGCAAATGAACGTCAGGAAACTTAAATATATATATATTTAGAAGGAGAAGTGGCATCCACTTCCATAACAGCTTGCCTCTGGAAACCCTATAAACCTTGCAGGGGACACCACAGTGGATTTTTAGAGTCTGTAAATAGCACAGGAGGAGATGGTCCATCTTTTTCCTGTGAAATGGTTGGTGAATTCAAACTGCCTACCCTTAGACTGGCAGCAGAGCTCCTTACCCACAAGGCCACCAAGGATCCTTTGTTTCTAATAGGTATCTTCATTGTTTTAGGACAACAAAATGAAAAGATTATACTAATCAGTTGCACTGAAATTGTTTGCAAAGAGTCTACAGTATACATTTCTCCTAACATTTTAAAAGTAACTTATAAGAGAAAACTCAAGTATTTTTTTATCTGTGAAAAGATATATATGACAATTTTAAAAATGCTATCAGCAAAATGTTTTAAATATGCCATTTATCTAAAAGTTCTATGGTGCTTGTAAATTGAATGCCATGGTCAAGTTGTCATCATTTAAATAGCAATATATTTAGAATTACGACTTTGAGCAAAAGTTGTCTTCAGTGTTCAAATAATTCATACTTGTTATTTTTATAATAACAGCCTATTTGATCTATGAGCAAATCTCATTTTCAACTGAGTGTGTTAGCTGATCCTTAAAGATTTATGGTTTTTGTAATGCTGTTTTTTCTTTTCCCTTCTGGGACCAGTTTAGCATCAAAATAAAAAACAAGTATTTCTCCAAAACATTTTCTGTCTAGAAATGGACCTCTACATATGCACAGTTCTCTATCTCTCTCTCTCTCTCTCTCTCTCTCTCACACACACACACACACACACACACACACACAAACCAGCAGAGACTGAAAACATACCAGCCATCCTCTCAGATGAATAGTAATTGCCAATGACTTCATATTGAATGTTAACAGCTGGCATTGAGTTTGGATGAGTCACTTCTACAGTCAGCAAAATTGCCATCAATAGGTTTACAACCTGCAAAAGATTACATTTTATCAATAACGGTAATTACGAATCAGGAAGAAGGCTTCAGCAGTCTTTTCAAGATTTAAAAATGTTTTTGAGAAAACAAAGATACATGACAGTAGGGCACTATCTGAAAGATTAGCTTAAAAGTAACTGTTTTATAAAGTTAAATTTAATAATAACCCTTTAACACATAAAGTGCCTGTCAACACCAATGCAGTAGAACAAAATGGCACAAGAACTAAAAAGAAGGAATCATTGTTCATGTCAATCTCTGCATTTCTGGCCTTGAAAAAACTACAATTTATCTAATATATTAATCAATCCAAAGCTGAAACTCCTTCACAGCATCCCTCAGCCAATCACAGAGAACGATCTCCTTCTGGGTCAAATGTAAACGCTTTGAAGACTTCAAGCTCCGTTTCCTGATTTTTGCTCATTCATTGCCATTCTATATTTTGACATTTTAATAACAAGTCTGCCCCTTTTCCAAATAAATACTCTCCTAATATTCTTCCAATGTTGCGTTTCGACATTGGCCATTCTACTAACTAGCACGTTTTCCAGCTATTTCATTATTTCCTTTCTGCTAGTCTGTATTAACATCCTGGGTGCTCCTAAGAGTCAAGGATGTGAAACTTCATCACACATCCTTGGGACATGGAGTTAGGAGGGGCCTGTCCTTAGAAAAGGACATCATGCTTGGAAAGCTGTAGAGTCAGAGAAAGACCCTAACAAGATGGACTGACATGGTGACTAACAATGTGCTTGAGTATATCAGACATCATGAGGATGGCACAGGTAGGGCAAGTTCAGCTCTGTTGTTCATAGGGTCATTACGAGCTGCAGTCAACTTCATATGGCACCTAACAACACCACCATTGTTTACAGAAGGGGGAACTAAGACACAGCAAAATGAAATACTTGTGCAAAGTTCAGTGAGCTGACAAAGGCTAGAGGTAGGATCCAAATGCTGCTTTTTTTTAAAAGATACTATGTTTGTAGTAGGGGAGCTCTCCTGGTCTAGTGGTAAGGATGTTTGCACTGCCAGACCAAAGGCACACCGGTGGAAAGGCACCAGCTGCTCTGCAGAAGAAAGAGGAGCAATAGCTTCTCCTGTGATTTACGGCCTCGGAAAACCTGCTAGTGATTTAGCTATGAGCCAGTGCCAACTTCATGGTACATAACAAGAGGCTGCTTATTAATGGGGAGCTCTGGTGGTCTTGTGGTGAGAAGCTGTGATGACAACTAGAAGGGACATGCTTTAAGTCCATCAGCTGCTCCAAGGGATAGATGGGCAATCTCCTGTAGGATCTCGTCTCTGAAAACCTACTGGAGGGTCAACAATGGGTTGGTTCTAACCTGACAGCACCAAACAACAATATACTTTTAGTTCTAGATGAGTATTCATGTATAACCAGTTCTAGACGACTACAGAGAAGAGGAGGCCTTCCCAGAAGACTGTGAAATAGTTATATTTTATTTTCAGGGGTGTGCTCTCTTCCTTTCCATACTCAAAGGTGCTTTACCCTTCAACTCTTGAGAGAACTTGCAAGACAATCATATTTGCAAGATGGAACCCAGTTAACATTCATTTTATTATTTTATGATATGAGTTCTGGCCTGGGAATGTGAAATATAACTAGGAGTTAGTAAAGTTACATTAATGAATTACTAACAAATTAGACAAACCTACTCAAAGAATATTATATATTCTGTATATGGAAATCAGGTTTGAAGTCAATGCAGCAAAACCGTCAATATAGTAAATTTAAAGTAAACTCTATATAGTACAGGAAAACATTTTCCTGTCAAGAAAAGCATGCAAATTCCATTACTAAGTGAAGGAAATGGCACATCAAAAAAATAGTTTATTAAATGTTTCTGTCAACGTAAGATTTACTGAATCTGTTCCTTCTCTTCAATGATTATGCCACTCATCCACAATTCTTCATAGAATATAACAATTCAAATTTCATTCCGCCATGAGTCATATGCACAGCAGTAAACAAAAATAAATTAAGGGTTTAACCAAAAGACCCAAGGAAAATATTAATAAATTTCAGTGGTATTTCATCAAAAGCTCAGATAATTCTCTAAAATCGCCATTCAGTTCATTATATCTCATCATATTTCACTTGCCTCAAGATAGTTTTAAGTATTAGTCTGGAAAACCCATCCCTGAAACTTTAAGATTCACCACTGAACATCTAACCTACCCTGCGTCTACGCTATTTTTTATTACAGTTGATAAGTTCTATGTAATACTTCTAAAGAAAAAAATTACCATGTTAACGCATGGGCAGTAGACACATTAACAAATGTGGGAGTGGTAATGGCAATTTAGTGGGTCAAACAATGAGGACTGTACACTCTGAAAGTCTTCTGTACATTTTATACGAGCTGAGGATAATGATTATACATATCTTCTCCCAAAGTCATCCAATACAAAGAGTTCTTATCTAAATGTATCTTCAAAATAAACAAATATGTTAGGCTTTAATGTTCAAAATTTCTACTTCATAAGATGTGGCTATTTTTTCCTCCAGCAACAAAAATTGGACACTGTCAAGGCTGATAACTGTTTCAACAACTGCCTTAAATGAACATGAGACAGACAGCACTCAAATTACCACACTGTAGACAAACATTCTGACAGAAAGGTCAGTTTGTTCTAAAAACCAGATGCACTAAAGTCACCTTGTCATTTCACTACCACATCACACCACAAAGACCCTTTGGGGACTGTATTTTCTATCATTATTCTTTTAATTTTCCCACAGTATGTTTTGCCACAGCCTAGTATCTGCTGAGACCATAATTAGATCAGTATGTTCACCCCAGGGCATCCTAGAGTAAGGGTTTCACAAGCGCAGGGAGCTTACACATGGGAGCCAGTGTACAAAACCAGCTCAGCAAACAACTGCCTCCAGATGATGACCAAAACTGGCTAAATATCGTAAGGACTGTTTTAATAGGGGGGTGTGTGTGTGTGTCTACATATATAGTAAATATAGACAATTAAGGAAAAAACCTACCAATATACACGTACACAGTAAATTAAAAAAAAAAAAAGTTTTATTTACTGTCACTTACAGCTGCAAGTGAATTACTTGCTATTTTTTGAAAGCAATTTATTCACTAATGCCCAGTGACCACTTAAATGCTCTATTAAGTTACCTACTATATGTACTTCAGAGTAAGAATCATCACTGTTTTCCCTCAAAAGAGGACATTTTCTTGCAGGGAGGGACAAAAGAATAATACTTCTGTGTAAGCAGAACTACGTGAGTGGTTATGTAGAAATTGTTCCAGGTACGAAGCCAAATCCTTTGTCCGAGAAGCAAGGGAAGCTCACCAAAAAAATACATTCAAGATGTATTGAAATTTAGAACTGGTAAAATGTTGACGATAGAGTAGTACTATTAATGGTTTTGGGTTTTCGTACCAGCTTCCCCTTTTCTGCATGTTTGAAATTTTCCTTCGGAATGATTTTAAAATTGAGTAGGATGTAGCCAAGTTCTGGTCTGCGGTGTGTTGTGCTGCCAACCAGAAGGCTGTGCATCTCCAGCAGTTCAAATCCACTGAGGTTCCAACGGAAGATGGAAGTCTTCTCCCATTAAGATTTACAGCCTCAGAAACCCAAATGAAAGGTTACTATGAACTGGACTGAACTTGAAAGTGAGTTTGAGTTTTTATTTTTAGTTAGAGGAGTAAGAAGGGGATTTGAGGGATAAGAATTGGGCAATATGCATGAAATAGCATCTGGAGAAAATAATCAGCTTTGAACTATAAACATGTTTTGCTCATAGAAGGCACTAGTGGTGCTGCTGCAGGCTGACACATTATGAACCGAAAAATTAGGGGTCTATGCCTACCAGCCACTCCATGGAAGAAGAGGCAGTCTGCTCCTTTAAAGATTTTTTTAAAAATTTTTATTTTATTATTTCTGTGTGAGTGTACCGTCTGCTCCTTTAAAGATTTAAAGACCTGTTAACCCAATGGGCCAGTTCGACTCTGTCCTCAGAATAACGATGAGTAAGAACTGACTCATGGCAATGGGAGCAGGAAAGGCTGTCAAGAATGAGGAAATCTGTATTTCTCTTTCAGCTACCTAAAGTCAGACTCCTTACGGTTGAGGACAATGATACAAAAGTAGTTATGTACTAAATTCTTTGCAAGAGCTAAAATAGTTCAAATACTCAAAATGTATTTTGTATCACCATTACTCATGAAGGATACCAGGATTTCTTGAAGAGCTAACCAAAAGACTAAGTTTCTTCATGTAGAGGATGAACACAGTTTTTATGATTTATAGGCCCACCTTCCATTACATATGGGGCAACCATGAGTCAGAACTGACTCAACGGCTACAAGTTTTGGTTAGTTATATTTGTTTCTCATCATTCAACAAAGGTTTAAGTTTAAAGAAATGGGTGCTTTACCATTCTCAGGCATTCTTTACCCAAGAAATGGCTGCTTTAAAATCATCTGGTATCAAGCTTTCCAATAAGTGATACAGAAAATCATTTCAGGAGTGTCAGAATTGAAACGCAATCTCATCTTGAAATTTCTTATTGCAAAAAAACATGTGTTAAGCCAGGCATGCTGTTTTCAAAGAGAAGGCACTAAAGGCATATCAGGGCTAGTGCCTCTAGTCTCTAAGATGTGGCAATGGCTTCTCTACCTCCTACTGCACTATTTAGGACGACACTATACAGGGTTACAGTAACCTTAACTCTAGACCAGTAAAAGAAATGTCAGGAATCAAGCACATCATTATCAAGAGACAGGGATCCAATACCTGAGCCTAGGAAAAGGGATGGCTGTAGCCCAGCTTCCAAATAACTCTAAGGATTCATAATCTCAGAAGCCTGCAGCCTGACAGTCTACAGAGAATCAGTCACAAGCCTTGTCCTATGTGGTTTGAAAAGCCATGCCACACCTGCCAAAAGAATTCTGACAAGGTATGTAGAGTGAGAAATGGCATTCTACCTCAATTAACTCTGTATTATTTCCTTAGTTAAGAAGCTCTGGTAACCAAGTGCACTGTTTGGACAAGTCTTTTTGTTTAGAAGTATTACCTTAGCTTTTCTTTAGGTGGTCTTGTTTTCTAAAAGCTGTAACTAAAGGTGTGTGCCAGCTCTGTAAATTGAGCCTTTTATATGGATACTGAAGCTACACTATAGAAAGTCACCAACAACCTTGCAACCAATAAAAGCAAATGGCCTTTTCCCAATCTCCAAACTGATTAGAATCTACTGATGACCATCCCCTTTTACTCCACAAAGACCACTTTTGTTCTCTGTAGTAACACAAAGAAAGATCTTCAGGGAAGATGTTATGTTCCAGACAATTGCAACATTTGAAAGTTTGTTTTGTAGAGAAAATAACAGAAATACAAAAGATGGATGAAATATGGCCCTGTAATTTCTTCTTGTGTCTTCCAAAAAAGCCTTTTACATTGCAGAGGATCAAAAAAACTTTTCATTGATTTAAGCAGCTTACAATATGCTATTAATCTGAAAATTTTACAGAAAGAATGGCTTTACAAAAATAGTGAAACAAAAAGACAGGAAATTAGAGATCGAGGAAGCACTGTCTCATCAAGTGTTTCAAGAGGAGGCAGATTTAACATCTATTTTGCAAGAAAAAAATGACCTTAATAAAATTTTCCTCGTGTTTGAGTTTTCATGCTTAGAAGTTCCTCCTCTCCTTACACAGTCTTCCCTTTAATTTCTATGAGCTAAGCCATATTACCAAAGTATCTACCTAGGAAAGACTGAAAATTAATAAACAGCCAATTACGTTTGGATGAAAGAGGAATGGTGATTTTCCTGGTAAATAAGTCTGAAGGCTAAAATCCCAAGATAATGAACTCTACTTTTTCAGTTTTCATTCAGGCAGAGGGGAAGATTATGTTTACAGGTGGAGTGATGCAGATTGAGTTTTGACAGCCTAAAAATCTTAATTTATCACTTAAAAGAATGGAAGATAGAGCTGAAGACAATAAAAAGAGACCAAAGGTCATGCCCTTATAAAAAAGGCACAAGAAAATGTTAGAAATGTAATGCAGATAAATGTCATTAAGGCGCTCTGGTGGCCTAGTGGCAAGAAGCTGCACGGCAACCCCAAAGGCATGTGATTCGAGGCCACCAGATAGATGCTCTGCAGGATGGGCAATCTCCTCCTGTGCAATTAACTGCCTCTGAAAATCCACTGTAGGGTCAGCTATGGGTTAGTTCTGACTATGGTACATTAACAACTGCCATTAAGTGATGTTCATTGTTAACAGATATACTACACTAGATTTTAAAAAACCAAAAGAGGATGTCATAGGCGAAATGTAGTAGAATTATGCCAATATGGTGACGCTTGAGGGCACTGTGATGGCTAGTCCGTAGGGAGTTTCATTGTTAACCCAAAGGTGATTTGAATTCACCAGAGGCTCTGAAGGAGTAAAATGAACAATCTGTACCAAGTGACTGAGAGTCTAAGAAACCCTGTGGAGGGTCACTTTTAAGACACCTCTGACTACATATACAGCACAGTGTTTGAGTTTTGTCTTCTAAATAGAGGGAAAATGAAGTTTTTCATGTATATTACTGAAACAAGATTGTAAAAAAAACCCAAACAAACCCAATTGGGAGGTTAATACTGAGGAATGATGTACCAGTCAGGCTGTCCTGTGGGGTGGGCCATGAAACAGTATCTGCCTGACCCAAGAAGAACCTCATCTGGTGTTTATCGAAAGGTGACTAATGATTTCAAGACACTGGGTGGGGAAGTAAAATGTATCCAGCAAGGCAAAAAGATCTGTGCTTCTCTGGCAGTACAATTAAGTACCAAAACCAGTATGGCATCATGTGCCCACCACCAAAACACAAAAAAAGCACGAAATCACAAAGTTGTTAGCAAAATGTGACCAGTTCGTGAGGGGTGTCAAAGTGCAATAAACTCATCATCTAATCATAACCACAGATTTTTAAGTCACAAACGTAACGTACAGTCACTGTGGTGGTAGGAAACGGAAAAAGTATTACTGATCCACTCGTCAACAGCATTCTCAACTTTGATAACAGAATTACACAGATCCTAGTACCCCCAAAACGCTGACGTGTGTAACCACAAAAGAGAAGACTCTCAATAAACGTATAAAACCGAACAGTCTGATAGGAGTCGGCCTCGAGTAGCAAACAGCTGTTAAGTGAAAAGCAAATGGTATCGCCTTCAACAGATGCCTTTCTGACGACATCACAAACACCCGCAGGCACAAAACAAGGTTCAGGAATCACAAAACAGCTGGGCTTCGGCTACATCTCTGTGTTCAAAACAACGTTGCAACTTGGGAGTGATCCACGGAGAAAAGCAAAATAGGACAATCAAACACCCAGAATGCATTTTGGAAAGAAGGTAAAGTGGGGAGAGGTCTCTTTCAGTTCATGGAAGTGCAAAAAGAACGGAAATGGATTAATTCCCAGAACTCGTCACAAAAAAACCTAGTCACCCATGCCCAAAAGGCGTCAGGCCTCTCTCAACCCTGCTTTTCTCCTCAAATTCTTGTCTCGGAATTCTTAGTCCCATCCGTCCGAGATTGTGATCCCTGGGCAATTTCTGTCTTGGGTCGCTGGACTTGATCCAGTGATAACACCTTCTCGCTGTACCCATTATCCCGGTTTTCAGATCCACTGCTCCCAGCATCTCAAACCCAGGGAATACGCCCCTGCCTCCATTTCGAGCACAGTTCCCCACCCCCACCTCCCAGCACATGCGCAGAACTCGATCCCACCCCAGCTTTCCATCCAGCCTGCAGTTACCATATACCAGGTCCCCAAGATGATCGTTCCAGTGCGGACATGGCAACAGCCGCAGCACCGGGTGCTGTAGAACCGGTCGCTGCGGCTTCGCTTGAAAGTCATGGACACCATCGGGAATCTGGAGGGCCTCCCTCCTGGATGAACTCCTAAGCAAGACTTTCCGGCAAGCAAATGAACTCAGATAGCTCTAACACCGTCCTCCGGCCAAGACGACGCAACTTAGAGTCCACCAGGTCCCAAGCAGCTCTTTCGCACTTGCGCAATAAGAACCAAAAGCTATCGGACGACTACCGCCTACTCTTCTGCATACAGGCCAATAGAAGAGCGATTTAAAAGGCAAGGTAGGTTGACTCAATCTCTGATTGGAGAGCACTGGAAATTGACAAGAAAACAGACCCAATCAGAAGTTTAACTGGGCATAGCATTAATCCGCCTGTAATGGGAAGACAAGGACCGGATGTTAATGTAGGTTTGTTATGTTTAGGTGGTTAGGTCTAGTCAAGTAATTTGTTGTCTCTGAGATAACTTAAAAAAAGGTGGCATTTAAGGGATAAAGAAGGAAACTAGGACAGGTGGGAGGCAAAAAACGGACGGGAAAGGCTTGAGTGACGTCTTTGCCACGTAGTGGTCAGACTTGTCACAGGCCTGCCGCCTTGCACGTGTTCGCGTGACGTTAATGCGCAGCTAGGTTTAGGGACTAGAAGATGCCTTTGGGGAAGTGTTCTTCCTCCTGGGCATTTCCTGGCTCGGGTGGAAATTGGGAAGGGCCCGGAGAGCTGAAGGATTGTTGTTGCTTCAAGTCCTGCAGGACTCATAACGACGCTATGAACAAAAGGCCTGAAGCCCCTTTACAACTATCGACATTCATCAAAGTTCATAAAGTGTCTGAAGGCATGTGTTTAGGAAGTGGATGCCACTCCTGCTGAAGGATTAGAGCTCTACTTCATTGCGAAACCTGTTTGGTGGGAGCAAAACAAATACCATGTAGCCCTGCGAACTAACGACCGAGAAGCAAGAGGAAAAGGAAAACGAGGGGGGGGGGGACCTCTCCCTTTCCTTTAAAATGGACCGTGCGGTTCTGAGTGTCTTCAATAGAAAACTGTTCTAGACTAGTTGATTCTGTGAGACTGCTGCTACCTACAGATTCTGTGAGACTGCTGCTGCCTGTAGAATTTTGTACAACTCTAGAGAGCTGGTATGGGTAGAAGATGCTCAATCCCCTCCCGTGTCATTTACAGTCTCGAAAATTCACTAGAAGGTCAGCTATGAGTCGGTTCTAACTCACGCCAATGAGTGAGGGACCTGGTAATAAGGTGTCACAAGATGCTGGTCTATAGCTGATGTAGCTGTTCATTTTCTTTGAGTTGCCACTCGAAGTGATTTATCGTGATGGTAAACCAAGTTGGTGAGTTTACTAAAATGCCTTTGCATTGTACACTTAGAAAAGATAAACTATTGGTGGAAACCCTAATACCATAGTTACCTTTAGTCACCTTTGGAACCTGAAATAAAATTCACCCCCATGGCTCAACTTTCAGCCAAATAATAAGCCTACACCAGAGAAAAGACTCACTTCTAAGAATGACCAACCATATTGTGTCAAAAGAGCATTATTTCACTTCACCAGAAGACATTTCAGATGGCTAACAAGCACATGAAGAAATGTTCAAAATCTCTAGCTCTAAGGGAGATGCAAATTAAAACAACAATGAGATACCATCTCACTCCAGTCAGAATAGCAAAATTTAACAGAACAGCAAGCAACAAATGCTGGCGAGGTTGTGGAGAAACTGGAACCCTTACTCACTGTTGGTGGCAGTGTAAAATGGTGCAACTACTGTGGAAGGCAGTATGGCGCTTTCTCAAAAAGTTGCAAATAGAGATACCATTTGACCCAACAATTCCACTACTGGGAATATACCCCAAAGAGACCATAACTGACACCCAAGCAGATATATGCACACCCATGTTTATTGCAGCTTTGTTCACAATAGCAAGGAGTTGGAAACAACCTACGTGCCCATCAACAAACGAATGGATAGAGAAGCTGTGATATATTCACACAACAGAATACTACACTGCATATTATTTAAAATGGGTGACTCTGGAGGACATTATGCTGAGTGAAGTATCTCAGTCACAAAAGGACAAACACTGCATGGTGTCACTGTTGTAGAATGGGACTGACCTTGGGGTTGGGGAGAGACTGAGAAAGATGGGTTCAATAATTTATACTGCATTGAAACAGATGAGGGAGAAAACTGTTTAAAAGGGATATGTGATTAGGTATTTTTGTCATGACAGGAGTCTAGAGCAAAGGCTACATGGTGGAGTGGTCCTGGGGGGGGGGCTTGTAAAACAAAGAATTTTACTTTTCAAGAGGGTAGTGTACTAGGGGGGAGGGTTGGGAGGGGAGAAAAGTGCAACAATGAATGAATGAAAATCCAAAGTCTCTGTAAATTTTTACTGAAATTAATAATAAGTTTAAATAAAAGTTTAAAAAAGCATTATTTGTCCAAGGATAAAGCCTTGAAGTCAGGATAGAATAGAAGGATTAATGGGAATGAACATTATAGGGAGGAAGTGGGGAAAGTGCTATTGTGGGGATTTTAATTAGTGTTATGTTGTTAAGTGCTGTCAAGTCGTAGGCGACTCTTAGCAACCCTATGAACGATAGTCCTTGACAGCTGCGTGACTTTCATCCTTTCTCCATGTTTGTAGGGTTTCCCCCGGCAAGCTATTTACGGAAGTAGATGCCACTCCTGCTTCCAAGCTTGTTTTAGCCAGGGAGCGCCACCAAAAACTATCCACCATGGGTAACCGCTGTCGCATTTGACACATTAGTGTCACAGTGTTCAGCTTCACAGTGACCACAAGTTGCCTCTGTACAGCAAATGAACACACCAGGGCTATACGACCTAGAAAAATGTTTCACCAAAAACTATTAGGGCCGCGGATTAGAGTCACCCACCTGTGGCTTGGTAGCATCGATTTTGGTCCAGTAGGCCAACTGGTCTGTATGTTGTTAAGTGCAGTCAAAATAAAAATATTAATGAATGGTGGATGAAAACTCAATTTGCTTTGTAAACACTCATATCACAAGCCGTCCCCCTACCTATAACAGTAAAACTGCTCTATGTTGTGGTTGTTGTTAAGTGCTGTCGAATCTTAGATGACTCATAGTGATCCTCTGAACGATAGACCTCAACACTTGCATAACTTGCATCGTTTCTCCAAGTTCATAGGGTTTCCGGAGGCAAGCTGTTTAGGAAGTGGATGCCGCTCCTGCTTTCAAGCTTGTTTTAATCGGGAAACTCCATCAAACACTCTCTACCATGGTTTACCATTATCACATTTGACACATCAGTGTCACAATGTTTGGCTTCACAGCAACCACAAGTTACCTCTGTACAGTAAGTGGACATACCAGGGTTACACAACCCAGAAGAATGTTTCACCAAAAACAATTAAAGACAGGCCTGATAGCCACAGATTAAAATCACCCACCTTTGGCTTGGTCACATCACTTTCTGTCCAGTAGGCCTACTTAGCTCTCTTTGTGTTGTTGGTGTTGTTGATAAGTGCCTTTAAGTCGTAGATGACTCATAGCGACCCTATGAATGAAAGACCTGAACGCTTGTATAACTTTTATCATTTCTCCAAGTTCATAGGGTTTCTGGAGGCAAGCCATTTTAGAAGTAGAAACTGCTCTATAGGATTTTTTTTTTCAGGGTGATGCACTTTATTTTTTTTTTTTCATACTGTGTGAATATATTTAGTAAGCATTGTGTTTTTTATAAAAATCAATTTGTACTTAAAATCTACACAAGTGCAACTTCAGAATGAAGAGCAAGGGATTTACAAGCACACGTACTTACAATCTTTGCCTTTTGTACTAGATAGTATTTTTTAAATGTTTTTATTTTAATTGAGATTTTAATGAAAGTTTATAGAGAACTTTGGTTTCCATTCATTCATTGCTGCAAAATCTGTAGGATTTTCTTGGTTATAATCTTTAGACTAGCAGACGACCAGGCCCTTTTCCAATCTTTTGGTTGTCAGCCATGGCAATGCACTAGCACCACTAAGGCTCCTTGTCTGTAGATAAACTGGCAGATTAAAGTCTCTTCTCATACACTGCTTGGAAAAGCAATTTTTTTTTCCATTTTTAAATTAATTCTATGATTATGTATATTCTGCAATGCTTGTTGCAGAAGATCAGAGACAACAGCCTTCAATATGTATTGCATCTCAACATCAAGAAGACAGATATCCTCAATGGACAGATAAGCAACATCATGATAGATGGAAAAAAGACAGCTGTTAATGACTTCATCTTAGTTAAATCCGCAATCGACACCCTTGATACCAGCAGTTAGGAGATGGACTGCATTGGGAAAGCCTGCTTTCCAGAGATCAAGGATCTCTTCAAATTACTAAGGAACAATGACGTCATTTTGAAGATTAAGGTATGTCTGATTCAAACCATGGTCTTTTCAATCACTAGGTATGCAACTGAACTCTTGACAGTGATTAAGGATGACAGAAGAAGAATTGATGCCTTTGAGCTGTGTTATTGGAGAAGAGCACTGAATATCTTGTGTAATGTCAAATGAGCAAACAGGTATGTCTTGGAGAAAGTGCAGCAAGAATGCCCCTTGGAGGCAAGGGTGGCCAAGCTTCATCTCACAAAGATCAAACATATTGCTAGGAGAGGTTGTTTCTTGGAGAGGGATTCATGCTTGAAAAGATGGAGGGTCAGCAAAAGAGAGGAAGACCCTCAATGAAATGAATTGACACAGTGACTGCAGCAATGGGTTAAAGTATGTCAGAGATGATGAGGATGGAATATGATAGGACAGGACAGGGTACAGATAGGGTTGTATTAACTTAAGGGTGATTTACAATAGCAACTATCTATATAGTGTAATTGTTGCTGCTATATACTGTCAAATTGGAATGGAATCATAACTGTCCCTCTAGCAAGTTTTCAGAGGCTGTAAATCACCAGGGAAGAGATTTCCTATCTCTTTTCTGTGGAGCAGTTGGTGGATTTGAACCATGCTTTTGTATTGGCAGCTAATTAGGCCACTGTTGTTGTTGTTAAGTGCCGTTGAGTCGCG